AGGAGGCGAGCCCTGGGGCGGTGGGTCAGTCCCTTCCCTTCGGGTGTCCCCAGGGATCCGCCGAAGCCGCCTCGCTGGCGCGATGGGGAGCTTCGTACGGAATCAGACAGGGCCTGTCGCGCTGCTGCTCGCTGCTCCATCCGCGTTGCGGGGAGGTGGGGGGACGGGACGGGGGGGGCGGGAGCGTTACTGTGAAATTTCCCCTCCCTAAATCTGCAAAGGAGTCAAAATCTAACTGAAGGCTCGTGAAGTTCGGCGTTTCTTTCGGGAAAAGTTAAAACGCGCGATGTTTCCCTCATCCTAATGGTCGTATTTAATTCCTCGTCCTTGCGCCTTTGTCTTGAGCAGCTCCACCCTTTGTATCACCTTTGTCTTATCGAGGCATCGGTTTCTCACTGAAGAGTAGCCTGTGGTGATGTGTCACCATTGTCAGGTGACTTTTCGGAGTGAGAAACAATAGTCTGAGATGGTTTTAAAACTGTTAGCGTTTTCCATAAAACCATAGAATTCCGTAGAGATCCTGCATGGCAGTCCTCAGCTGAGGCATTGCTGCCTTAACCTCACGGTGAGACGTTTCTGCAAATCTAGGCCTTATGCAAATAGTCACAATCGCGTAGATTATGCCTCTTTAGACAGTTGTCTTAAAAATGTCAGTGAAATTGTGAAAATCTTCATTTTCCATAGCAAAAATATCGTACTATGCTTGGATTAAATGAAATTACCTATGTTTAAACAGTTCATACACACAGCTTAGTGGTCTAACAAAACCTCATATTGGTTCACGCTCCTGTTCTCCGTGCTATTAATATACGTGAACTTTGGTTCCCCTAGTACAGATTGATATTTAATTAGAGAGATGATACTTAACTCCTTATTCTCCTGTACAAACTCTCTGAAATGATCCTAGAATTGGTAAATTTGTATGAGCTCAGCTTCCAGGCTGATACGCATATAAATAAGTAACTAGAACACTGATAATATCCTGTTAACAAAGTGCTCTCGGTGTTCATTTTGATTTAATTAACATTTTAAACACTACTTAATGGACTAGCTAGTTATGCTTTTATTACTAGCTGAATATAGCTAACATTAACATTTTTAATTATTGTCAAATGCTAAGCAACAGTATAAATTTTAATTTAGATATTTCAGTTAATATGTACTGGATTTTCAAGTGCATAAACACCCTTTCTGATAAGTGTCTGGGGTTTGTAGTGCATGAAGAATCCCTGTATACTTGCTCTTCGTTTTGAGTGTTTGTTTCTGTACAGAGAAATTCAGCTAATGATCTTTTAAAGAAAATTATTTATGTGAGCACCTAGTCTTAAGTCAGATTTTCTGTGGGTAACTAACTCCCATACCCCCATCCCCTCCTTTAAAATCCCCAAACAAATCAGGGGGATTTTCTCTGTGGTGGTTTGTTATTGTGTTTTTTTCCCTTCTCCTTCCCCCTGGTGGCTTTGAAGTGTTGATTTTTCTTTCCACTTATAAAACCATAACTAAACAGCACTTAGAGCCTCTATCACAGTTTCTGTAGGAGAAATCTGGCCTCTAAGGAGGAGATGTGAGGACCCCATTTGTGGCTCTGAAAGGGAAGCAAGCCGTGAGAGGGTGAGGTAGCAGCGGAACCAGATGACAGCAAGATTTGTGTTAGTGCACACTGTGCCACGGCCCGGGAGATCTGCTCCTCTTTTGTCTGGGAAGATGCTGCTGCAGGCCTTGTTTCAGCTGTGTAGCTTCTCTGCAAGGCTGCATGTTGTGCCACGCAGAGCTGCCCTGGGTACCTCACCTCGCCTCGTGCCTTTCTTTCTTCTGCATTTTTTGCCTGGTGTTACTGCTGGTTGTAGCTCTGCTCTACCGTGTGCTGATTCAGCAGTGTTTCGGCTTAACGTTTTTTAAGAGCAAAGATGAGCCTGTTGGAGACGGGGGGCGGGGGGAGGAAGGCCTTAAGAGCACTGTCACCTCCCCAAAAGTCTTCTGATCCTGACAACCTAGATTGGTCAGGCAGTGCCATTGTCATTCTGCTGGATCTTGCCTCTACCGCACTCTTCTCTGAAATAGCGGAGCTGCTGCTTCCCTCACTTTAATATTCTCTATCGGGGTAAAGATCTTGATTAAATTGGTTCCTTTAAACATATGAGTAGGGATGATGTAGCTAAAACTGGACTAGGCCCAGTGGGGGGGGGGCTTAGTGTTTTTGCGAATACTTAATCCAGTATATAATAATTTAGTCATTACCCCAGTAAGAAGATTATGCTTGATATTAAAAATTTATTCTGTGTGCATCAGGGGCAGTTGACTTTCAGTGGTTTTGTGGGGTTTTCTCTCTCCTTCCCTGTTCTGCAATATTCATCTTGTTATGTGTTCCTCCAGCAATTTCCGCTGCCCTAGTGTTTGACTGGTTTAGCAGGCATGAATTAACTTGTCTGCCCAGATGGCTGCTCCCAGAATAGGTGTGTGGGTCATCTTTTTGTATTTGGCCTCAGTGAACATTACTGAGCTGCTTATTTTTCTCAAAAACGTGCAGGGTTGTGGGTTGGTTGGGAGGTCCAAATGCTACAGGATGGCAATAGGTTTATGCAGTCGTGACTTAGTAACTTTCGTCCAAGCTTCCTTAAAAAAGCAAGCTCAAAACTAATTGCAGAGTAACTTCTTGTCTGCATCTCTGACTGAGCTGGGCTTCACCTGGGGAGTTAATATTAAGTTTTGATCTGTATAGTAGTATCTTACTGTTTGTACTGTAGTGTTATTTTTGTAGGAGGTGTGCTCTGAATTTAGGAAGTGACACAGACTGCCCCTGTCTCCTCTGCTGATCAGCTCAATTCATTGGGTCAGATTTTCTTTGTTCTTTTTGAAGTCTGTTACTTGTTAGAAATGTTTTTCCTAATAGTACAATAATATTATTTTATTGGAAAGAGGGAGTTGGACTGTAATGTGGTTTCTTGTAGAAGTGGCTAACTGTATAAACAGTATCAATGGGTCTCTTGTTCAGAGATGAGCGTGATCACAGCTTGTGAGGATGAGATGTTAAGGGGCAAAATGTTTTAAAAGCTGGTGTTGGAGCTCAGACACTTAAATGAGATGTATTGCCTCGTTTGGGGCACACTGTTTCCCAGTGAGAGGAAGACAGTCATCTTTATTTCAGCCACTGCCAGCCTCCCCTGTCTCTAGAAACATGCATTCCTCTGTGTTCCCCTTGACTCACTCAAGAGGAAGCTGCTTGACTTACTTAGGTATTTAACAAACAATTTGACACTGGTGACTTTTATAGCAGATAGTTCTTTCATCATATTTTCTGCAGCAAATGAGCTTAAGCTTATGTTCTACTCAGCCAAATTCAACACTTTATTCAAGTAAAAATATTAACGCAGATAGAATTGGTTCAAGAGAGTAGGGTTTTTTTGAACAAAGACTAGAAATATTCTTCACTAGAAAGGTTATTTGTGTGTGTAGAGGAAATAGTGTAATACATTAGTGCTATAAAATCTTGATGCATCCTAAGCCAGTATTTGCCATACATTTCCTGCTGACTAAGCATAGATGCCCCATATGTAGTTGCTTGTGGTCTAGAACAGCCTTTGAGGATCATCTGGTCCAACTTTTCATGGGAAGGAAGCCTAGATGGGATGATCTGCCACCCGGTCCAGACGCATCCTGAAAAATTCCAGTGATGGGGACTCTACCATGTCCTTGGGGAGGCTGTTCCAGTGACTGATTGTTCTTACTGTAAAATTTTTTATTATATAAAGATTAAACTGCTCTCAGAATCAACACCTCCGTACTCTTTGTGCTGTAGTGATACTGAATGGAGGTGGAGGTAAAAATATAATGTCTTTTACATACTGAAATAGTTATAATGAGAATCTACCTAGTTTTGCTTTTTTTAGCAAGACAAATTTAATGGTGAACTTTGCTAATTTAAAAACGATTCTGTAGCATTGTGGAGTGAAATTTTTTGGCTCATCCATCCTTGGAAAGGAGCACAATGACAAAAAAAGAATACAAGGAAATTATTTAAAAGACCTTGGTTTTGCATCCAGTGTGTTGGTGGGGTTGAACCTGAAAGAACAGATAATCTGACCCTTTTCCTGAGGTGGCAGCCTGTCTGCTCTTCCCTGCCAGCCCCGGGGCCTTCCCTGTAGGGTCAGGGTGCTGGTGTCCCTGTTTGTCCTATGACTGAGCTCCCTCTGACACACGGCGGTTGTACCAGGTGATGGATGTGCACTGCTCATGTGCCCGTGTTCCTGTGTGACTGGTGGGGTGTTTTTGACACGGTGATTAACACCTGTGGCTTTTGTCACTTGTCGGCTCTGTCCCTGCGTATTCACTGGGGAAGAAGCTGGCTTTTACCACTCTTCAGTGTTTTTGGCAGAGGTTGCCCAGTGTCTTGTAGCTCAGATAAGGCAGTGCTCGCCCTAACTTTATTTTACCTGAAATATACGTGGCCTACAAAACTCGGCTGTTACTGCTCTCTGGGATATTGTCTTCCAGGCAAAACAATTTATTTGTAAATAGGAAAAAACCCAACCCTCAAACATTTTGATTGTACCTTTCCTCTTTTGGCTTATGTTTACTTGTGGAATCTTGCCCTTTTTTTCCTCCCTGAGTTGTGACTCAGCAAGTGGCAGAATATCGAAACAGGATGAAGTTAGCTCCTGGTAGTTTTCTGTTTAGTGTGGAGGGGCTGGTTTTGTGGTTTCTTTTTTTTTTTTTTTTTAATCCCCTCCCCAGTGAAATAGCACTTTCTTCTCCTGTTCCTTCTTCCTACAATTGTCTGTTTTTAAGAGTTGAATACAGGTAACTTTTTTGTCCTATTTTTTTCCCTCGTGGTATTACAACTGTTCAGTGTTCCTTTTCACTTCTGCCATTGATAATTGGTAGTGATGATAATGCATAGTGTGTGTTTGCTTTGTTCTTGGGGTTGGTAAATTTTTATATTGCATAAGTTAATTTTGTCAGCTGACAGAATTATGTGATACATGAGTAGTTGCTAAATAAGCAATAATTTGCAAGCTAAGCTTTAGGTTATCTTACCTATTGTTTGTGCTCCAGTGAGGGTTGTGGCCATACTCTGCCAGATCCTGAAATTGTACCTGGATCCCCTTGGCACATTTTTTTTCTGTGGGGTATTTGTTTAATCTCTGCAGCTGTGGAAGGGGGGATGTAGTTGTTAGCTAAAAGGAATCCTTGCATCTCATTTAGTGAAATGAAATAGAATTCAAGAGAACAAATAAGCCTGAATCCTTTATTTCCTCTGAAGGGATAAATGATTACTTTTGACATAGCACTAATTTCACTCTGTGGTGGTGCGTTGGGGAGCGCTGCCAAGATTGTCAGGGGGCTCTGTAAGGTGTTGCAGGGACTTAGTCTGCACTGGTGATGAGATGCATAGAGTCATAGAATTGCCCAGGCCGGAAGGGACCTCCAAAGGTCATCTAGTCCGACCTCCCCGCAGTCAGCAGGGACACCCCCAACTAGACCAGGTTGCCCAGGGCCTCGTCGAGCCTCACCTTGAGTATCTCCAGGGAAGGGGCCTCAACCACCTCCCTGGGCAACCTGTTCCAGCTCCACCACCCTCACAGTGAAGAACCCTCTCCTCATCTCCAATCTAAAGCTGCTCCCCTCCAGCTTGAAGCCATTGTCCCTCGTCCTGTCACTGCAGGCCTTTCTAAACAGGTTCTCCCCAGCCTTCCTGTAGGCCCCTTCAGGTACTGGCCTCTCTGGACCTGCTGGCAACGCTTCTTTTGATGCAGCCCAGGATGGGATTGGCCTTCTGGGCTGCAAGTGCCCACTGCCTGCTCATGTCCAGCTTCTCCTCCACCAGCACCCCCAAGTCCCTTTCCTCAGGGCTGCTTTCCAATCCCTCACCCCCTAGTTTGTATTGGTGGCGAGGATTGTTCCGGCCCAGGTGCAGAACCTTGCATTTGCTCTTGTTGAACCTCATGAGGTTCACCTGGGCCCACCTCTCCAGCCTCTCCAGGTCCTTTTAGGATGAGTCATTTTCCGTCGTAACTTCTGATGATCTACACAGCCTGATTCAGTATTGAAATCTAGTAATGCAAAACTTCTTAAAGAATTTGTTTGATGTTTTGTCTCCCTGTCAGATACCCTGCTTGTGTGGAAGTGCCCCGTGCCTGCTCTGCCGGTGCTGCCCCAGTGGAAACAACTCCACCATAACTCGGCTGATCTACGCCTTCTTCTTACTACTTGGTGTGAGCGTTGCCTGTGTGATGTTAATACCAGGCATGGAAGAGCAGCTGAAGAAGGTCAGGTTACTTCATTGCTAACGTGTTTGGTAGAAGAAATGTCACAGAGAATTGTAAACAACGTCTTGAAAGCATGAGTTTTATTTGGAAATACATAATTTTGCTGTCACCTCTGCTTCACAGTCACCATTAACTTGATGGTATATCAAATAAGCAAAGAACTTGTGGGATAATCACTGCATAGATGAAAAACACTATTTAGAAATAGTCACACCTCTTCTTTAATAGCTCGGAGCAGAAAAAATAAAATCTTGTATCAAACAAGAAAATACAATTTATGTATGTTGAGCTTTAAATTATAAACTACTGAGATGTTTATTTGTGGCATTTGATTAACTTTGGTTGCTGTTAATAAAAGAATGAAAAATAACCACAATCTAAGATACCTTTTACTTTCACTGTACTGTACTAGTTAAAATTCTGTTTTAAAATCTGAAAATGTGTAACAAAAGTATTTTTCCCAAATGATAGTAGCATATTTTTCACTAAGGATAACAGGAAGTGCTTATAGGATATTACAGTTTATTAGTTATATGAAGATTACGATACTGTATGTAAAAATTACATACACTGTAATTTGAATACACTGCAATAATTTGAGTTATAGGAGAGCTTATATGGTCACTGAACTTGAGTTGCATGTGCTCTGGTTCTGTTAGTCCTTTTTTTTTTTTTTTTTTTCTGTCTTAAATTTTTTTTTTTTCTATTAGGCAGTAACATCTGTTAGGCATGCTTTTGATTTTCTTCCCCCTAAATGATTCATCTGTAGATCTTTAATTCAGTGTGGTGTAGTAACCTCATTAGAGCTTCAGTGGGAGCCACGTTAGTCACCTACAGAAGGAAATTACAGCCCTCTGGAGTATGATTTGCCTTCAAAGTGGTGTTACTTGTGTCCTGGTACTGAGCGGAAAGGAGACTCTCAGCTGTTTCCTATGGAAGTTACAGATACTTCTCATTGATTGGGATGTTACTTTTTGGGGGGAGGCTGTTTCTGTTTTAAAGAGATATAAACAGGCAGCTGTTAGACTGTAACAGCCCTTCAGTATCATATTTTCTAGCAGTGTTAGTGGTTGCATGATGTTACAATATCGATGAGTTGTATATTAATAAATTGCTATTGCATGTTTACTCACAGAAGGCCTCTCACAGATCACTGAAGTATCTTGTATTTATCACAGATTCCTGGATTTTGTGACGGAGGGATGGGAACAAGTATTCCTGGTGTGCACGGACGCGTGAATTGCGACGTACTGGTTGGTTACAAAGCCGTGTATCGCGTGTGCTTTGGCATGGCCATGTTCTTCCTTCTCTTCTCCTTACTGATGATCAAAGTGAAAAGCAGCAACGACCCCAGAGCAGCAGTGCACAATGGGTAAGAGAGAGAAATGAGAACTGCAGTGGGTGAGGGGGGTGTGTGAGATACAGCTGCTGTCAAAATAAAGCCTGTGGCTGAGTATGCTGGTTCCACCAAACAAAGAATTTGAAATTTACTGTTCAGCAAAGAATTGTTAGTAGCTAGAGGAATGTTGTTGCAATAGAGGCCATTCAAAGATATTGGAGTTCTTAGACATGGCAGATTATTTTTTATAAGAGGAAAAGATACACATGGCTGTCACTTTTCAGAGCCTGAATTACGGCAGTGGATAATCTGTCTAGAGGTTCCCAAGATTAGAGATCCTGGTTTTGTCCAAAGATGACAAAATTCAGAGATAAATAATGGTACTAAGTTTCATTCCACTGAAATGTTTTCATCAAATAGAAAGATTAAAAAGCCTCATCTGTCCTTTTGGAATTACTTTCCTCCTGACTTTGATGTTTGTAAGCGCTTGCTCTTTGCTGAACAGTTTTATTTTAAAGATAACAGTTATATATATAAGTAGACATAGATACATAACATCTCTTCCCCCTCTGCTGGCTCTTCAGTCTTCTCCTCTGCATAAAGAAGAGTGAGTTATCTATTTAGTTTCTGAGTTTTGCAATAAACTTCTTCTGTATTTTATTATAGTTAGGATTATCAGATGGAAGATAGTAGTGGAATTTCAGTTTGTGCGTTAACACGAGCAGTAGTTTTCATCCAGGCTCAGCCTATGTGCAATGTATTTTCTTGAACCAGGGAGATGCAAATTTTTATACAAGGGCATGGTGCTAAAGAGCATAAACCCATCTGTGCTGCCTGCTCGTCTTAGTGGTCACAGTGATTGCTTAGACCACTTTTTCAAGGTGGTTATGTTTAATGAACGCTAGTAAAAGCTAAGCCATAAAAATGAAGTAATTTTTATTTTATATTCAGTATAAGATGATTAAACATTTCTAGCATAAAATGAGGAAAAACCTCAAATATTTCTGTAGGGCAAAAGAAAATAGTTAAGACTGAGCAGAATATTGCTTTATTTTGTTTGTTTCTGTCTAAAGAAGATGGGGCTGGGTACAGTATTAAGATGCACTAGCAGCAGTAACTCAGTTCAGCCTTTCCCCTTGCCCTGCTTTGTTCAGGAGAGCATACTTGTTACAAGCAAGAAGAAAATGGTTCAGGTGTATTCTGTGTCAACACTTTGCATTTTTCAGAATAAAAAGCACCTTTGACATGATGTGGTATCTCTACTTAAAACTGCTTAAATGTCTGGGATTTTCTTCATACCTTCATGTGGAGTTGTGTTCTCCAAATCTTGGGACTATTTATGCAACCCATAGTAGTTTACTCTTCTTAGACAATCTAGTGTCAACACTAGGATGAAAGGAAAAATGACACTCGTTACTGGTAAAATATTTAATAAGGATACTTCCAACATTTCAGTAATAACTAGTTGCTTCAATAGTATGCATTATAAGTAGCTTTTGATTTTTGAAATTGTAGTCTTCAGTAATACTTTGCAATGTAATATTTCTGTCAGTGACTTGAAATACTCAGAATATTAGGTTTTCCCATGTATGTGTACCAACTTTTTTGTACTTTTGTACAAACTTGAATCTGTTCTTATTTCTACAATGGAGAATGACATTGATTAAAAAAAAAAAAAATCCACATGTGGATTCAAAAACTAGTTTTAGTGAGGATTTTATTACACCATAAGTGTTTTAAGTTAATTGAGCTTTAAACAGGGTTTAGTCACTTCTCTGTATCCGAGTGGATTCTGCACCTCTGTCATCTTACATAGTTCCTCTCCATACAACTAGAATTTATTCCTCTGATCACCATCACCCAATTGTAACAGCCAGAAGGAGAGATTAAACTTACTCAAAGTACAGGAAAAAAAGGGAAAGGACAGAAAACTTGAAAACCCTGCAAGTGTTTGACGCTGCGGGGTTGTGGTACGTGTGTTTGTGCTATATTCAATTTTGGAGTACATGTAGATGATACCGTGCCTGTATTTGGAGCTGGCTGTCAGTCTGAGTGGAAAAAAGTCTTCACCTTCCTGTAGTTTTGTTGGCATAACTTTTTGATTTGAAGTTCCCTATGCAGACTATATTTGTACGCAGACTCTATTTGTACACAGCCTATATTTGGGGTGAGTTTGGAGAATCTTCAGTGGAAGATATTTCCTTGTCTGCTTTCTAGGAAGCATCTGATCTGTTATGTTTGTCTGCAAGTGCATATCTTTTACTGGGGGAAAAAAAATCCAATTTTGCTGCGCTGGAACAGGGACTTAGAATTTGATTGTGTCTGTTCTGTGAAGGATAAATCCTTTGCTTTTTTTGTAGGGTTGAATCTGTATCAGATATAGGCCTAAAGAGTCTGAAGTGGGAAGAACCCAGGCTTTTGTACATCTGTCCTGTAGGAAATTGATCGAGACTGGTAGCAAACTCTAGCATAATGCTTTCTGTCATTGGAGGTACCAGTCAGATCTTCTACCTTTTTTGGTTTTGATATTAAGAACAGATAGGGATATTTTTTTAAACCATTTTTCTTGTATGCAGACAGTTCAATAATCTCACTGATCTAGTTAAAAACCTTAAAAAACCCCTAAATCCCTCACGATTATATTCCACCATAGTTTCATTTGTGATACATCAATGAGATATCTCTGGGAAATGCATTAAACTGTGTGTCAGTCTGCCGCAGTTCAAGCATAGCTTTGTGGAGAATAAAAATCTTGGGCAGATAAAATAAGATTTTTATCCTACTTTAAAAGAAGCAAGTTAAGAATGAGTGAATTAAAACCCAACTCTTAAGGATGTACATTTTGTGTATTTCAAGGTTTTGTGAGTTAGATGAGACTTCAGCAGTTACCTGACTTTTTTTTCTTAATTTCTCTTTAGATTTTGGTTCTTTAAATTTGCAACAGCGCTTGCAATTAGTGTTGGAGCTTTCTTCATACCAGAGGGACCGTTTACAACTGGTAAGGGAATATTATCTTACACTGTATCGTGGTGCAATCATAACTGGTTTTAGAATAAAGCCAAATACATGCCGATGTCTTTTATTTTTATTATAGCTGTATAGCAATAGCACTTTTCTGTGTTTAGGAACAGTTAGTCATGGTTGTAAATTAACTATGTTTCTGACCTGGGTTTGTTTTCTTTTTCTTTTAGTGTGGTTTTATGTAGGTATGGCTGGAGCATTCTGCTTTATTCTTATTCAGCTGGTCCTGCTTATTGACTTTGCCCACTCTTGGAATGAATCTTGGGTTGAAAAAATGGAGGAAGGAAACTCAAGATGCTGGTATGCAGGTAAAAGACTGTACCACAAACAGGTTTTAAATTTCATTATACATTATGTTAAATATGTTAATCAGCGAGTACTGCATTTCACCAGAGCGCGGAAGGGCTGCTTTGTGTGTGAATATAATTTTCTCAGATCAGTTGTTTTCCTGTCCTTTTGATGCAAGTTAAATAAGGGAGGGGGGCAGCAGCCTCTGAGTAATAAGATCTAATCTCTGGGTATCGAGTGGCAACTGTAGCCTCTGAGTAATAAGATCTAATCTCTGGGAGCAGGGTATCGAGTGGCAACTGCAGGTTTTTAGTTGTTTTTCTTTTTAGCCACAGGCTTTGTTATACCTTAGGGCTGATTAAAAATGAAGTAGCCTGCTTCTGCTGCGTGTTGGGGATAGATGTCTCAAATAATTGTTGATCGTTCTTTGAAGGTATATGCTGAGATGGTGAAGGAGAATACAAGTCAAATCACTGGAGAAACAACACGTTAGTTTTAATAAAGTGTATCAGATGTGATAATTTCAGGTGTGTTTCAAGAGACAGCATAGCCTGCTTCGTGAAATGGCCACTTCACTCTTTAATGCTTTTAGTAAGATGGAATTTAGACATAAGATTGTGGTTTTCTTTCTATTGGAGAAGTAATCCTTCAGTTTCTTTTTTTAGCTTTTAGCCAAAGTGTATGTAGTATTGTATTCTGTCACCCTTGCTCTTCTTGGTTGCTGTTCAGCACTGAAGAATCAAATATGGCTTCAGGCTTCCCTTTTATTGTGTTCTTTTTTTTAACAGAGTATTGAGAGGAACTTATTTCCTTTACATTTCAGTGCCCAGAGCTGCTCTCTAATTCTGTCATTGTATACAGTATCCAAAACCTGATAATCATTATTAATGAGTTTAACTCTGTCTCTTTTCACAGCTCTGCTGTCCGCTACAGCTGTCAACTATCTGCTCTCTCTAGTGGCTATTGTCTTGTTTTATGTTTATTACACCCACCCAGAAGGTTGTTCTGAAAACAAGACATTCATCAGTGTTAACATGCTGCTGTGTATTGGTGCTTCTGTAATGTCAATTCTGCCGAGGATCCAGGTATAGTTTTAATTCTGTTATCTTTTGGCTTTTTCCCCTGTATTATCAGTCCCAGAAACCTGTAATATAATCATGCCTGAGATCTTTTAATTGCCTAACTTCTCTATTTCATGACAACTTCTACAGGAATCTCAGCCAAGGTCTGGTTTGCTGCAGTCTTCTGTGATCACAGTTTATACAATGTATTTGACTTGGTCAGCTATGACCAATGAACCAGGTAAGTGTAACAGTAATATATGGCTTTTAGGGCAACCAGTTCAGCAGTAAATTCATAGAACACCAAGTTGGAAGGGACCTCAAGGATCATATGGTCAGACTTTTCCTGGCAAAAGCATGGTCTGGACAAGAAGGCCCAGCACCCTGTCCAGCTGATGGACCCCCCCAGTGATGGGGTATCCACCACTTCCTGCAGAGATTATTCCAATGGCTCATTGTCCTCATTGTGAACAATTTTCCTCGTGTCCAGTCAGAATCTCCCCACAAGTAACACGTACCCAATAGCCCTTGTCTTTTCCACGTGACTCCTTGTAAAAAGGCAGTCTCCATCTTTGTAGCCACCCTTTAAATACTGGCACATGGTGCTAAGATTTCTCCTAGCTGCCTTTTCTCAAGGCTGAACAAACCCAGTTCTTTCAGCCTTTTCTCATATGGCAGCTTCCCGAGCCTTTGATCATCTTTGTGGCCCTTCTGTGGACCCTCAGCAGCCTCTCCACATCCTTTTTGGTTAGCAGGGACTAAAACTGAACACAGCATTCCAGGTGTGGCCTGACAAGCGCTAAGTAGAGTGGGATAATGTCTGGGTAGTTGAAGTCACCCATAAGAACCAGGTTCTGTTGACCCAAAGCTTGCTGAAGTGACCCAAGTACTGCCTCGTTGATTTCATTTTGGTTTGGAGGTTGGTAGCTGATGCTTACTGTAAGATTATGGAGAAATAAGATGGTCTGCTCCTCCCAGCTGTTTCATCTGTGTTATCTGTGGATTAGGAACTGTTGATAATACGAAGCTGACCTCAGCATTCTTTTCCAGCTCTGAGATGACTCTGGTGCCCCATCTATGCAGTTTATGTTTGTCAAACTTGTTTTCCAGCAGTAGAATTTCTAAAGCTTAATATGCAGAGCATTTTTATTCTGTTGCATCTAATTGTATGAGATGGAACAGTAAAGCAGCTGATGCATATCTTTAAGTTTAAAATCCTTTTATCTCTGCAAAGTGATTTTTATGGCACATTCTGTCATTTTCCTGCTTTACAGAGACTATAGGCTAAAATTAGATTCAAAGCTTTTTTTTACTTGAAGACTGTCACGGTCACAAAGTTCCTTTCTATTACCGTGCGTTCAGTGGGGAAGTGTACTATTAAATATTTGTTCCCTTCTTGTTTTATGCAAATTCTATTGTAATTTCCCCCCCCAGACAGGCGCTGTAACCCAAGCTTGCTGAGCATCATTGGTTACAACAGCACCACCATTCCAACCCAAGGTCAGGTGGTTCAGTGGTGGGACGCGCAAGGAATTGTAGGGCTGGTTTTGTTTCTGCTCTGTGTTCTCTACTCAAGGTAAAAGATTCCTTTTAAAAACGCCAATTGGCTTGTATTACTCCCTCATTTTCGGATACTAAGCTGGATTAATTTGGGTGACTGTGCTGTGTCCTTCCCTGTCCCATGCAGCATCCGCACGTCCAACAACAGCCAGGTGAACAAGCTGATGCTGACCAGCGACGAGTCCACGCTGATCGAGGATGGGATGCCCAGGAGCGACGGCTCCCTCGATGATGGGGATGACGTTCCCCGGGCCGTCGATAACGAGAGGGATGGTGTTACTTACAGCTACTCCTTCTTCCATTTCATGCTTTTCCTGGCCTCACTCTATATCATGATGACACTTACCAACTGGTACAGGTATTTCTGTTTGATAATACGTTGCGCTGATAACGAGCGTACAAGGTGCCGTCTTTTTACTGAATTTACTGAATTTTATTGAATTTTTTAGAGTTGGAAGGGACCATAGAGATCATCTAGTCCAACTCCCCTGCTGAAGCAGGATTGCCTAGAGCTAGAGCATGTTACTCAGGAGCATCCAGGCGGGTCTTGAAAATCTCCAAAGAAGGGGACTCCACACCCTCCCTGGGCAGCTTGTTCCAGGGCTCTGCCACCCTCACCGTGAAGAAGTTTCTCCTCATATTTGAGTGGAACCTCTTCTGTTCCAACTTGTGCCCGTTGCCCCTCGTCCTCTCGGTGGGAACCACTGAAAAGAGTCTGGCTCCCTCCTCCTTCAACCCTCCCTTGAGATACTTGTAGGCATTGATAAGGTCTCCCCTCAGCCTTCTCTTCTCCAGACTAAAGAGTCCCAGCTCTCTCAGTCTCTCCTCATCAGGGAGATGCTCCAATCCTTGAATCATCTTTGTTGCCCTTCGCTGGACTCTTTCTAGTAGTTCCCTGTCCCTCTTGAACTGGGGAGCCCAGAACTGGACACAGTACTCCAGTTGTGGCCTCACCAGTGCAGAGCAGAGGGGGAGAATGACTTCCCTTGACCTGCTGGCTACACTCTTCCCTCTGCAACCCAGGATCCCATTGGCCTTCCTGGCTGCAAGAGCACACTGTTTACTCATTGTCATTTTGCTGTCCACCAGGACCCTTAGATCTTTCTCTTCAGAGCTTGTCTCCAGCGGGTCCACCCCTAACCTGTACTGGTACCTGACATTTTTCTTCCCCAGGTGCAGGACCCTACACTTTTCCCTGTTGAACCTCATGAGGTTCTCCCTTGCCCAGCCCTCCAGCCTGTCCAGGTCTCACTGGATGGCAGCACAGCCCTCCGGGGTGTCAGCCTTGCTGGACAAGGAGGTGTAAGTTGTGTGCTGTGAGGAATGTAGGTCTGACAGGGCTACTCGAGGGTAGTGCACACTGTTTGGTTTGATCTATATTAAATTCATTGTATTTGAAAATTGGAGTAGCCAACCTTGTTCACAAGTGCCTGTCATATTTTCTAGGCTAATTATTGTGATTTACTGGACTGTTGAAATAGGTGAACAGGATAGAGTCTAAAATTCTATAACAGCTAAAAATAAGGAAACACCAGGCCCATGTCTAGTACAGAGCGCTGGAAAAAGTGAAGTAGGACATCTTTATCAGTAGGTTGAGGGAGAGGTGATTCTTCCAGTCAGCTCAGCTCTGGTAACATCACACCTGGAGTGCTGGGTCCAGTCCTGGGCTCCCCAGTGCAATAGAGACTTGGACATACTGGAGAGAGTCCAGTGAAGGGACTGGAGCATCTGTTATATATAACATATATATATATATGTTATATATAACAGCTTGAGCAGATGTTCTTCAGAATTTGAAAATATAAATTACAGTCTCTGATAATTTGTTAAAGGAAAATTTGTATCAAAATAGCAACAACAGAAATGTGTCCCCTTCAGAAGTAACTCTTAGTAGGTAGAGAGTGGTGCTGTGGTTTTGATTTGCGGTCCTGCTTGGGTCAATATGACATCAAGATGACTAATTCTTGATGTCTTTTGGCAAGGTGAAATGCATTGTTTGTATCTCTAAATGCTGTCCAATTCCTGCCTTTCCACAGATTTGCTTGGAGATTCCTTATAATTATTTCTGCTTCTTGACAGCTTCTCTTACTAAATATTTTTTGGGGCTGCTGTTGCTTTCCACCTTGCTGTGACACCAACTTATGGATGGTGTTCTTGTATAGATTGGTGTGAACTGCCTGGAGGAAGAAGGGTAGAGGCTGAAGCTGAAGTGAAAATGATCTCCTGTGGAAATAGTGCTGAAGAGTGGCTTCCTACCTGAGCGTGTCGTACTGAAACAAAAATGGCAAATTTATCTTTTTTTTTTTTCTTTTCCTTCTTTCACAGTCCGGATTCTTCTTACGAGACCATGACCAGCAAGTGGCCGTCTGTCTGGGTGAAGATATCCTCCAGCTGGATTGGCATCGTGCTCTACGTGTGGACTCTGGTTGCTCCCCTGGTCCTTACAAACCGCGACTTCGACTGAGCCGCGCTGCTCTCCAGGGTGTTGTGCTCGTTCACCCCCTCTCTGAAACAAACAGTGTTCCCCGTAATAGTGCATTGTAAATAGGTGTGTGTGCGCGCGCGTGTGCGTGTGCTAGCTCTCCATGTAGTACTCCCGCTCTATTCTGCATGATTACCTTTGAATCATGTCTTTTTGTCAATTCACTTAACGACTTTTTCTAGCTGAGCTCGGTGACAATTGCTACACTGATGGTTTTCATAGGAGAACTCCTAGACTGAGCGCTTCGGGAGCATTAGATGTAAGAGCAAGACCTTTTGGAAGTAGGTTTTATTTCCCCCCCTCAATTGCATTAAATAATGGTAGGAAAAAAAGCGCAAGTGTTAATTAGGGTAACAAACCAGTGTTAGATCAGGCTTTGCAAGCAAAGGAGGGGCTGCCTTTGATGATGATCCTGTTGCCTTGATTCCAAAGTAAGTCTTGAGTGAGCGTTGTTAGAACTGTGCATGTTGGAGCTCACTGGACGTCCTGCACCACCAGCCTGACTCCCCTCGGTGCTGCTGGGTCCGGGGTGTCCCAGTGCAGGCAGGAGGACAGACACCCTGGGGAAAAACAGCCTGCTATCAATCAGATGCTCAGAAGCATGTTTTTAAGGCACCTGTTTACAATGTGCATCTTTATTGTGTATTATTATGATTATTTTTTTTTTTAAAGTAGTTTAAATGGGATAGCTGTGCTGTAATTTATTGCTGTTTCGTGTGCCACTTACTTTCTTGGCTAAGCTACAGTCACGGAGTTTGCAAGGAGCCGAGTGGTGAAAACTGTGTAAGCCCCTCAGAGGAATTCTTTGAGTTTTGTGGCTAAAAAATAATAATTGAGGAAAAGGAGCACTGACATTGCAGTGACTAAAGGAGGCTTGCATTAACTAAAGCTTCAGTAAAAGTGTTTCTTAAATATATTTGGGGCTCTAAATTTTTGAAATCTTTTAATGTATTAGGTATTTTGCTTGTTGTCCATTGCCAGAGGTGGACTTGAGCCTAGAAAGTCTGTATCTAGGCACGAGGTAAGACATGAATCTGTTTGGTTAAAAATACTGTATAGTTCCTGTGCAGTTATGAAATCTTAAATGCTTTTGTGCTCGCTGCTTTATAACTGCAGTACCTGAGCTGCATTAGTTATCTCTGTTCCTTGCTGCAGCCTGAGAGTAGAGCAGCCTGACTGGGAGTGCCCCTGGAGCCCTCAGCAGATGTCACACTCATTTGTTACTGTGGTGTTTAGACCGTGACTTCCTGTTGCTAATTATTCTCTGAGCTTTTATTTTAATTCTGCACCTAAACACTGACATTTAACTGCAGAAGTCTGACAGGTCAGTTAAACTCGAGATGGTAATGGAAAGAGGATTAGTAAAGGCTTGTAATAATTTTGAATATGTTGTTACCTTATTAATAAATAAATTTGGATGAAGATGTCTGGTGACTTTTGATGTCTTGTGCTCCTGACAAACATGGGTAGGGCTTAATATTGTCTTCTCATCTTCTGGGATGTTTTATAGCACCCATATGTGAGAGGTAGCAGCTGACAGTGCAGATTGTTCCTGGTGCTCCGGGAGATCCCACATGACCCCAGTGCACCCATATGTGAGAGGTAGCAGCTGACAGTGCAGATTGTTCCTGGTGCTTCGGGAGATCCCACGTGGCCCCTGCGTGGAGTTTGGGACAGTTCTTGTCTCGGGGCCCTTTGCAGCCTCTCTCTAAAACACAAACGTGGCTCCCACTGGTAAAGGGTGCTCCTGCTGTGGCTGCTGCTGCTGCACCACACTGTACCTGCCTGTGTTATGGTGGGTAGAACCCCTGGACAGCAGCTTCTCAGTTCTGTCTGTGGACTCAGCTCCTCGTGCAGGGGGCCAGGCTGCTCCTTTAACAAGAAAAAGGCAATTTTTAAACGCAGTGCCAGTCATGGGAGGTGTTTTCCCTTACTAAAATCTAGTTTTTCCCTTCACGGGAATGTTCTACCCAGTGGAGCCTCTTAAACCTCCCCGGGGATGCCTTTGAGGGCAGGGAGGGAAGAAAATTTTTATCTTCAGTTACAGTTTAACTTATTGTTTATATTGAATGAGAAGCTGAGGGTGAGATGATTCAGTTATGAGTGTGTCAACTGCACCTTCACCCTGTGTTGCAGTAAGGCCTCTGGCATTCAGTTATTTCATACAGCTGCAGTCAGTTCACTAGAATAAACAGAAGACTGGGGTAGAAGTTTTTAAAAAAAATGCTGGAAACCTACCTTTTGAGTAGGGATAGAGCTCTTCCAGAGGAACAAAAGCTACAGTGCTCTGCCACAGCTTGCAGTAAGAAAACAAAGGTGAAAACATTCTTTTGCATAGTACTAAAGGAAAACACAGTTTGCTGCATTAACCACTTGTTTTGGAGGCCTATAAATTACAAAAACTATTTTCCAATGAACGTGCATAGCAACAGTGCTCATTGCAGCTACCGGGGCGTGAAAAACACAGGCTGTTAGATCTACATCCACTTGGCACATGGAATAAGAGACAAGTCTTAACAAGGATCACACTTAAGTAACATTTATTATATCAGAGTAGATGGTCCAAGTAAAAGTACTCATGCAGTCGAGGGGCCTGGTGGCTGTAAAGAACTTTTCCCCAGTTTGTGCTATGTGTGAGCACTTCCACTGAAGTGAAAGTAAGGCAGAACCAAGATTTAGCAAGGTACAGGCACTTTGTTCCCAGTTCAAGCAGGGAAAGTAAAGAACTTTTCCCCAGTTTGTGCTATGTGTGAGCACTTCCACTGAAGTGAAAGTAAGGCAGAACCAAGATTTAGCAAGGTACAGGCACTTTGTTCCCAGATCAAGCAGGGAAAAAAAAAAGCCTACATCAGGTCCTGGTCCCCACCCCACCCCAAAAAAGCCTCATGTTTGTTAAACAAAATGTTGTAAAAAATAGAAAAAACCCAAGATACAGAAAGTCAGTGCTCCCTAACCATACACTACTAGTTTACGTCCTCATATGTAGACCAGAAATATATGAAATCATAAATCAAAGCTTACTATTAACAAGTGTTCAGCTACCTGGGCTACTAGTGATATGTGTCATACCAAGTATGTGAGAGCAGCACAGTAACAGTCTGACTGGGTACTGCCAGCCCTGGGGGAGAGCCTCTCTAACCCCCTGCTTAAACAACTGCCTGGAGGAACTCACAGAGGGAAGGGTTTTTTTTTTTAGGTTCCACGTTACCCGGTTACATAAAACAGCGATTTACAAAAAAACTCATATACCAAACAATATTCTAAATAAATAGTTCATCTTCATGACTATATACAGAGTCCCCCGTTCCGTTAGTTATCCAAGAAGGGCATGTCTGTGTCCATGGGTGCAGGGGCCAGTTCACATAGATAGAAGAGCGTGGCTTCGCTCGCCTCCGCCTCCGTCAGCGGCTCCAGCCGCACCAGTTTGCTCTGGGTGGGCTCGGGGTCCAGGCTGCTCTCCAGGAGCTCCTCCACTTCCAGGGCTTTGGCCCCAGAGGAGGCAGTTTCGGCCGCGGGGCTCCCACTCTCCATGGCAGAGCCCGGGTTGCCGTCGAGGAACGCGAGGAGTGGGAACGCAGTGTATTGTATCAGCTGCTTATCTGAGGGGAAACAATCCCAAAATGTCATCAGTTCACCTGCCTTTCTACATGCACAAAGGAAAACCAAGATCCAACCCACAGAATTCATTTAAATAATAATTAATAAAAAAACCGTGTTTGTTTTAAATTGGTGATTAAATAATCGTCACATTCATGCATAACATTATTTTCAGCTTCTCCTGCAAAAACATCAGTTTCTCTGCACCACGTGCAGTGCAGTGCCAAAAACCTAAAAAGCAAGTGTACTAAGTGTTTTGTTTATTTGCTTATCAGCATGACACAAAACCTGACCAAAAGCAAATAACTGAGACTTATTTTTACTAAAGAGTGTTTGTTCAACTGTTAAACTGTTTCAGCAAAACACAACTAACCTGATTTGGGCTTAGAAACTTGTGTTTCCTGTGAAGCCTCTGGTCCAGCGCTGTTCTTGGTAGTTTCTATTCCCTTTGTCTCCATCTGGAAACAAAAGCAAAATCTTAAAACACACACCTAAAGGCTTTTCCAATGCCGTGAAAATACAGCTGACAAACTATTAAAAAAAATTAAATTTTCATTTGTGAAGGGATGCAGTGGTATCAGTTACCCATAACGATAGACCTCGGCTGAGAAAATGTGAAATGGAACCGCAGGCTTACTCAAGCAAGAACCAAATCTAATGCTCATAAATGAACAGGACAAATTCAAAGATCTACATCTTTGCTCTACTGCTCAGCCTTGATTTCTTTTCCCACCAGGCAACACCGATGAAACCATCCTGACAAAGCGTGTACCAGGTCTGCAAGCACTAAAGTCTTAGAGGATACAAAAGCCAAGAGACTGATACAATGTGCAGGTATTGGCCTCAAGGCAATACAAGTTTTAAAGGACGTTATTAATTAGCGTGCTTTTCCCTTTTCTGTTTAAAACCTAACAAACAGGATGAATTCAGCTGCAGCCTTCCTATTCTTATGGAAGGCTTCGAAGCCCGAGCATGAAAAAAGAGCTATTATACCAGTAAGGCAAACAGTAAAGGATGAATAAAGTTTGCATCTCTCACTACTGCGCACGTCGAGCAATGGATTTAAGACTTACTTTGGGGTTAGTGATATGATCTGTGGGATTCATCTGCACGGAGCTTGTAAAAAGCTGAGTAAGACAAAACACATCAAGTTTTAGTTACCTCGATGCTGCCATTACAAATACAAGAACATCACGTCCGCGTGGGTGAGCATAATCCCTGTGCTCAGCGTTTGCACCCTCTATTTGGATTAGAGTTTATTTACAGGTAGTTCCCACTTTTGCAAAGAGAACAGCTTTGGAGCATAATGGTTTGGAATCCCATCAACCAGCCACAGAGGAAACAACTGTATTATGTCTGACTTAAACTAAGACGGTTTGCTGCAGTCTTAAAATACTGATTCCTCCTCAGGTTGCTGCATGGAGAATTGTGTGTAGAACAAGGAGTAACACACCCTGATCCTCAGGTTTGCAGTGACACCGAGCTGGAAGGAGGCACCAGTACGTGGGAGAGCGGAGCTGCTGTAAAAGGGACCTCAGCAAAGAGGGAGAGGGGCCAGCAGTCACTCCGTCGGGTTCATTTAGGAGACAACCATTTAGGAGACATTTAGGAGACAACCACCTCATGCAGCGGCCCAGGTTGGGGAGCAAACAGACAGGGAGCAGCTCTGTGGAGAGGGGACCTGGGAGTCAGGGGAGACAACTCCCCACCATGAGCCAGCAGCAGGGCCTTGCTACAGGGAGACCTGCTCTGCTACAGGCAAACAGCCAGGAGGTCACTGGAAGCAACTGTTTCTCTCTGTGCAGCACCCAAGCCCACTTGTGGAAGAGTGTCCAGTTTTAGGCCTCCCAGTACAAGAGTTCTCAAACTAGAGGGCCTCCAGAAGGCTACAGGTGTTTGGGGGCTCACGACACACAAGAGGCTGAGGGATCTTGGCTAATCTTGGCTGGAGAGGGCAGACAAGGGAGGGTAACTGCACTCTACCACCGCTTCTAAAAAGGTGTTACGGAGAAGACAAACTCCACAGAGAGGGACAAGGGACAAGAGGCAAGAGCTACAAGGAGAGAAGACAAACTCCACAGAGAGGGACAAGAGGCAAGAGCTACAAGTTGTGGCAGGGAAAATTGTGACTGACATTGAGGAAATTCTTCACAAAGAGTCAATCACTGGCACATGCACCTGAGAGGCTGTGGGATCTCCCATTTTGGAGATTTCAGAATCTCGGTCAACAAAGTCCTGAGCAACATGATACAACTTTGAAGCTGGCCATGCTTTGAACAAGAGGGCAGGGCCAGCTGACACGCACAGGACCCTCACAACCAAGCCATTCTACTCAACATAAATCTGAATAGAAATTAACAACATACACATACTCCTAAGAAATAACTTGAAACGGCAGAGAAACTTGCCAAGAGCCTTTCTAACCCCGGTTCATTGAAAAGACCATGGATGATGTGCCAGCCTATTTCAAAGCAAGTGTATAAATCTAATTGCTGTCTGAGTTCATGTAGCAACAAATATAAGCATTATTTCATTAAGAAAGCCATTATTCAATCAAAAACTTAACCATTCACTTGAGCAGTGGTGTAGCACTCAGAATTATACCAGTGCCCTGGAAACACATATTCACAAATATTTACAACTTTCCTTTTTAAAGGGCAGAAAAGAAAAAAAAAAAAGGGTGAAAAAATCTGTGTTTAAAATAAATTTTAAACAGTAGCAACCCACACAAATACTCTCTGTAGTATATTACAAAAGTACTTAAAATAAATAGTGAAAATTACATCGACCAGAAGATCTGGATCTATGCTGAACTGCCGTCCTGATAACAT